TGTTCTCCATTTTCAGCCCCGGGATCAAAATTGAGGGTTACCGTACAAAAAAATCAATATGACCTTGATTTGACCTCCTAGGTCCCATTCAAGGTCAGAACTGAGGTCACCATCAGCTGTGCCCTGCAATTTTCTCAATGAAACTTCTTCTAATATTCCTCTTTTTCCCAACATTCCATGAGTGAGCAACAATTTAATTTGAAATAACCTCTAGATGTAATTTTAGCCTCCATGGTATTTATACAGTTTCTTTCTGTTTCTGCGATAAAAAATGGGGATTTCTATTTGAAAAATCAACTTGTCCTTGAGATGACCTTCAAGGTGAACGTCAACTCACTTTCCGAGATATTTGGGTATATCCATACTGCATGTCGCTCTCATAGTTATGAATATATCACGGTGTGGCTCTGTTTTGTCATTTTAACTACTTTTTGATCACCTAGCTACAATTCAAATGTCAACTTGAGCTACTTGACTCCAATGTAAGGCTTTCAACTCTTTTCGTGGGTTCGGCCAATTTTATGCGTATCTACGTCTTCTAACGCAGCGTCTACTGGCAGAGCTTTTCCTTTGTCGGTACGTAAAATATCTCTTCCAGGAAAGTAGTCAGTGAAGTAGACAATAACGCATGTTGCTTGTACTGTGGAATTTCCGATCTCTATTACTCTGTATATCGAAAAACCATTTCTTTTACTAAGCCTTTGTATCTGGAAATGTAAAGACAACCCCCTTCCCTCATGCACATAAGTTATGCGGGTCTATCTGAAGTTGTGTATCGTACAAGAGAGAATTTAAGGTAAACTTACCGCTTGAGAGATACCCTTTCCTCTGAACGTAGTGTCGTTTAGCTGCACAGAAAAGCTGAATTTCCCGGAGGGGAATACTTTATCCTGGGTGAATTTCAATCCTCAAAACAAGATAAAAGGAATATTTATTGATACTGTATATCACCATGTTTCGCATGTGGGGTATAAAGTTTACTTCGGTCCGTGAACGTCCCATCACGTCTGGGATGTTTCGGAGGAGAAATAACTCTGTGACCTTTAGTGATTTGATTAAAATTGATGGCGGCCACTGTAAAGGGGAGAAAGGTGTGTGTAACGGGGACTTGACATTTCTGCACTGAGAAGGACTTGGTAAAAGGT